GGCCTATTGCCTCTGGCCAGCGCATCACTCACATCTTCTATCTGTCCATTGACCTCGTAGAACTTGGCAAAAGAAACCCACAAAGTATGTGTTTTTCCAGTGGCTTTAAATGGGTCAACGGTCTGCACTGCTTCTGTGTATGTGTTGATGATCTGGAAGGAGTAAAAAGTAAGTAAGAATTGGGTGAGATACTGTGAAACATAAAACTGAGCAAGTGAGAAGAAGAAAAGGCTTTTTGTGTTAACTCAACTTCATGAAGAGACATAATTTTCTTTTTAGCTATTTTGAGATGCAAGTACAGTACATGAAAAGAAGCCCCAATATCTCCTATTTTCACAGACAGACCTAATCTCCAAGGACTGTCTCAAACTGGGTGGCTAACTTGGTTCAAGTTAACCACTTGAAAAGGCATTTCCATCAATTCCAGTTCCCAAATCAAATCCAGTATTTAATAAATGGCAAGAGTGTTGTAGGTTACTGGTTTGGGAACGTTGACAGCGCTAGCCTTCCAGAGAGGAACATTCTCCTACCTCCCAGGGTTTGCCTTCATACAGCTTCACCCGCTTGTGCCACTCATGGACATTGTGAGGATTCTGGCGCAGGAGGACACTGTTGAGAAGCAGAGGCCGGCGTGCGATCAGCTGCTCAAAGCGTGCCAGACGCAGTTCCAGATCTACATCATCTATTTTCCAAACAGAAAAACAGCAAAAATGAAATTGCACTATCGGACCACAGTTCTTTTCTACTCAACTATACAGTTCTCCAAAAGTGTGGGAAGAATAAAGAAAGTAAGAGTTGTGTAGCGCCTATAACTAATGGGTGGGATGGATAAAAAGAGAGAAGCAGTTTTTTATTAATATAAGGTGTTATCTATAATGAAACACAGGGAAACATCCAGCATCATGTAAAGATTCAGGATAGAGATGGACAGAATGTGGCCATCTAGAAGTTGGAGAACTCCAACTTCCATCAGCCTTAGCCAGCATAGCCAATAGTGAAGGATGGTGAAATGAAGGAGGATTGTTAAGACCAAACAATCTGGGAAGTCGTAATCGGTAGAAGTCGGAAAGCTTTAGAAGACTCAAAAACTGGGTTATATATGTTCCCCTAGATCAGGGGTTGGCAACCTTGGCTCTTTTATGACTCGTGGACTTCAACTCCCAGAATTCCTGAGCCAGCATGGCTCAGCTTGGAAACCTCTCCCTTCCCCTCAGCATGGCTGGCTCAGGAATTCTGGGAGTTGAAGTCCACGAGTCATATAAGAGCCAAGGTTGCTTACCCCTGCCCTAGATGCACTTTAAAGAGAAAGTAACATTTGCTTTCTTCTAACTAAGCTGTTCTTACCCTCCTCCTCACGTCCCATTTCAGAGGTGGTCTCCATCTTAGCAGCAATCATGCTCTCCTCAAACTGGGCGTAGCTGTCAAACACTTGAGTGAAATCCCGTACTGTCATCACTGTTTGAATAGCTTCTTCATATACATCACGAGCCTAAGACAGAGACAATAATCACCAAGACTGCTCCAGGACACAACTTGTGGCCTCTCTTCTTCAGCCACCTAGCGGTTTGCACTTCTCTTCAAAAGGGATTGGTTTATAAAAGCACAGTCAATCTCTCAGGATGCAATCCATCTTTAGAAAAACCAGGTTGTCATTTATGTGGGTCAGCCAAAAGGCAGCTGACTGGAATGAACATGATCTAACAGAGAGGAAATTTCTCTTTGAAATTGCTGCATTTACTGCTAAGAAATTACACCTCCTGCGTCAGCTCAAAGTGATGGTTGACAGCTATGCTTAAATCTATTCAAAAAGCAAACTTCAGGCAACAGAAAATTGTGCCCATAATTTGATTTGCCCATCAAATCCAAAGTCCAATAACTAAGAGTATTTTTGATTCGTATCTGAAAATGAATGAAGTTTCGGGCTCATCCAACACAACCAAAGATAGGAATTTCCAGCTTCCTCTAGCTGTTTTCTTCATCCATGTGCTAGCAAACAGAGGTTTCTTAAAATCTATCTGGCATTCCCTAAAGGCTACCCTCCAGTTATACAGAGAATATTAAAATTTTTATCTATGAAAAGTATACTACAGAAGCTAACACAGAATTCAAAGAGTCCCCAAAAGTATTTTTCTGCCACTACCCTGGAGAAGCTCATGATCCTGAAGTCCCATGAGAAGAACAAACATAATAATATTGGCTCCCCTTTGGACCTGAAACAGGCTAATGATCTAATGGCACGTGTTTGGTTCTTCAGATTTTCTATTCCAAGGGTAGTTCCTTTTCTTTCTTTCTCTTTGTGTGGGCAAAGGAAAGTTATTTCAAAATGAAGCCCAGAAGTTGTGCAGGGCCCACAACTTGCCTTCTTCTGTTTTCAACCTCCTAAAACTAGCAAAGGCTGACAAGGTTTTCCTAAAAATAGAATAGAAGTCACATGTACGCATGAACAATGGATATTTATTTATATCTTATCTTTATTCTATTTTTTATAATTAACTCAAAGCAGTGAACACACACAATACTCCTTCCTCCCTTCTATTTTCTCCGCAACAATCCAGTGAGGTGAGTTGGGCTGAAGAAGAATGACTGGCCAAAGCCATCTAGCTGGTTTTCATTCCTAAGGTGGGACTCAAACTCAGTCTCCTGGCTCGTAGTCTGATGCCCTAACCTTTAGACAAACTGGTTCTCATATGCCCTGCTCTGAAATCCCTAACCGTAACTCTTTGTAATACTGTTACTGCCCTCCTCTGAAGGGGTAGGCAACAATTTTATATTTCCTAGCTAATAAGCAGGAAACAGTATTTGTTTCCCAGCTAAATTTCGAGGGCTGCAAAATAGCAACAGCATTTAGACTTATATACCACTTTATAGTGCTTTACAGCCCTCTCTAAGCGGTTTACAGAGTCAGCATATTGCCCCCAATAATCTTGGTCCTCATTTACTGACCTCGGAAGGATGGACAGCTGAGTGATGCACAATTGAAAGGCTGACAGTGGTGCACAACTTTTTTTTTCTTTCTTTCAAAGTTCCTAGGGCTGCACAAATTGACCTGCAGAATGCTGGATTGATCCCTAATCTAGCCTAAGATTTTCTCAATTTAGTAGAGGAAAATCAGGCATAAAAAAATAATGTGGGGGCTGCACTCCGCTCAATCTATGCTCTGGGAAATTTCTTCCTGGGACGGGATTTCTTCCTGGAACGGGATCATGCAGATGGCTGGATTCAGTGCCTACCTTCTCAAAATGGCCACTGCGGATGTAGTAATCTGCCAAAGAACACCACAGCTTGCCCAACTGGTCTGTGAAACGAGTCAGGCCACCTCGGATGATGGCCCCCACATTGAGTGACTTCACCTTGTCTGGATTTTGAGAGATGAGATCACAGAGCTCGTGCCATAACTGCAAAAAGAAGCCCAAGGTGCCAAACAATTAGAGGCAATAGAGAACTCAGAAAAGCTTTTGAGAGGCATAGGAAACGCATGCAGACAAAGGAGATTTAATATGCAATTCTGGATGGCAGAAATGATTGTCTACTACAGAAACCTACCTGATAATTGGATTTTCCCTCCTTGGAAATAAAACGCTCATCATTCACCACAGCTGCAAGACGGACAGCGGCCTCATCCAGACGGTCAATAGAGTGCAGATACTCAATGTATTCCTCTGCATTCTCAGGGCTCAGCTGCAACATAAAAGAAACCATACCTGTAAACCCCTGTATCAAAGGCTCAGAGCACATAGCCATTAGAGCCTTTAGGATTAGTTAAGAGTGCTGGTGGAAATGCTATTCTGAAGGCTAGTTGAGTACAAGATCCAATCTGCATTCATCAGCCTTCGTTATATGAATATATTAGACTGTTTAGTTTATGATTTTGCTCAGGAGGCAATCAAAGAACAATTAAGCTGTACTTTGTCAATATTATGTAACAGATTGAAAACGTAAAGGGGAGCAAAACTCGGGAACCCTGAACTTAAAACTATTTCTGATTATTAATATATCTAATTATCACACTATTTGAGAAAGAAGAGAACCCAATCCCCCGATTTTCAGCTCTCCTTTTTTTTCTGTGAATGATGTGAGAGGTTCTATTTGTCCACAAATCCTATGCCAGTTAAGAAAGAATAGGCTTAGGAAAGTGAGACTGCTAACCATGAAGCCACTGTAATATTTCCTTAGATGCCTTAGCTCAGAAACTTTAACCATCTTTTGAGGTCCAGTTTTATCTTAAACTTGCAAATGGGATCAGGTATATTTATTATTCCCCAACTCTAACAACTTACAGATGTGTGGACTTTACCTCATGAAATTCTTAGCAATGGTCATGGTGGCTATGAAACTGTGATAGTCTATATATCTAGAGTCACATATTATGTAATCACTCCTTCCTTTTATGAAGGAAGAAGGACAAAAGTCTATATTCTAACAGTTGTATACAAGGAGGAATGATAGAATATTAACTTGCCATATATGGACACACAAAAAATATGTCCATGCTGGCTTTCCATATTAAAGCTGATGATATCTGAACGTATTTAGACCTGATTTTTAATCTTAAACATGCAGAGAACAAATAGAAGCCCTTATAACAGACCACAATCAATCGGCTGAAGATCATAGGTACCTCAACATAATTGCCAATTTATTGAAGAATTTTTGCCTTTTTTGTCATAATTCACATCACTTTGCGTACAAAAAGACATACAGCAATCAAACAAACTATGTCTGTTTTTAAACTTTGTCAAATATAGTCTTCCTCAGGACAAAGTTTTCCAATAAAAGTCTCAAGAACACTACAAATAAAAATAATTTTTCAGTTCCTGATCTATGCCCGTAATAAAAAGTAGTCTAAAGGGGAAGAACCATGGTATTCCCTGATGGATGGGCACACATTTTTTTAGAGTATGTAACCACTTCAGAGAGGGAAATTGTAATAAAATATATATTACTAGCAGAATTGGAGCCAGAATTTCACATTGCTAAACTAGGCAGTTGTTAAATGAGTTGTGCCCAATTGTATGACCTTTTGTTATAGTTGTTAAGCAAATCATTGCAGTAGTTAAGCGAAACATGTGGTTGTTAAGTGAATCTGGCTCTCCCCCCCCCCCACTGACTTTGCTTGTCAGAAGCCAGCTGGGAATGCCACAAATGGCAATCACATGATCCTCACATGCTACAACTGTCATATATACACATGCTGGTTGCCAAGTGCCCAAATTTTGATCATGTAACTGTGGGGATGCTGCAACGGTTACGAGAGGGCCAATTGTGACTTTTTAAAAGCACTGTTGTAACTTCAAGCGGCCTCTAAGTCAATGGGTTTTAAGTCAAGGAGTACCTATACTGGGCATGGGAAACACCCTCACCTTTAGGTACCTACGGTAGACCCGTACAGCTGTCTCAGGTAATGGATAGAGTCGCACAAACTTCAGGTAAAGTGGCCAGATACGATGATGCTGTGTGATGGGCAGAGCTCTGAGTGCCCGGTCAAACGTCCTGCGGGTACGGGTAACGCGACATTGGTCCATAAGAAACTGGCAGTAATCTAGCCATATCCGGGGCATCTGTAGGAAATACAAGATAGCAAAAATAAGCCATCCCTTCACTGAATCAGACAAAAGCCCATATTATCCAACTATCTGATCGCACAGTTGGTTTGTCTTCAGGGTCAGCCTCATCCGCAGGGCCACCTTTGAATAAAAAGGTTTCACCTGTCATCTCCTATTGGAATGGCCTACAGGTTTTGTTTAATGATTGCCAACAGGCTTCATTTATCTCATTCTTTCTCCAAGTAACCATTAAAGGAATTTTCTAATCTTACTACTACAAACTGACTTACAACAGTTTGCTTAGTGACTATTCAAAGTTACCATGACACTGAAAAAAGTGATCTATGACCATTTTTCACATGACCGTTGCAGCATCCCCGTGGTCACGTGATTTACATTCGGATGCTTGGCAGCTGGCTTCCCCATTGACTTGTCAGAAGGTTACAAAAGGGGATCACATGATCCCGGGACACTGCAACCGTCATAAATATCGGTTGCAGTGTCCCGGGATCATGTGATCCCCTTTTGTAACCTTCTGACAAGTCAATGGGGAAGCCAGATTCAGTTAAGAACCGTGTTACTAATTTGACAACTGCAATAATTCACTTAACAAATGTGGCAAGAAAACTCGTACAATAGGGCAAAACTCACATAACAAATTTCTCACTTAGCAACATAAATTTTGAACACTGGAAATTTTTAAGAAGAGACTGGACAGCCATTTGTCCGAAATGGTATAGAGTTTCTTGCCTGAGCAGGAGGTTGGATTAGATGACCTCCAAGGTCCCTTCCAATTTTTTATTATTATTATTATTATTATTATTATTATTATTATTATTATTATTATTATTATTATTATTATTATTATTATTATTATTATTATTATTATTACTACTATTACTATTACTACTACTACTACTACTACTACTACTTGAGGACTACCTGTATTCAGTTTTACTAAGTGGCCCAAGCTCAGTTATTATTATTATTATTATTATTATTATTATTATTAATTTGATTTATATACCGCCCTTCTCCCGAAGGACTCAGGGCGGTGCACAGCATATTAAAAACAAGTAACAATAAAATACCAAAATAAAGTTAATAAATACCAAAATAAAAACCCCTCTAAGACCAAATTAAAAGCCAAATATTAGTAGCTGTGTCGTAATTAAAATTATAT